ATATATAAGATAAATCAAACTAATTCATTTTACCAAGATAAAGTCCTAGCAAACTTTCCCCCTCTCCCACTTAATATGAAATTTTGTTCCTCTTTTTAAAGTGATTTCACTTTCAGTGGTATTTCTCCAGAACCACCTATCCTCACATAAAAAGAACCATCTATAAATCAACTCCATCTCAAGTCAGTGGACGAATTTGTATCTACCAAATCACCTAGAACAAACGACAAAAAGAAACTGTTCCCATCACCAATCTCTGGAAGACTCACATCCATGAAATTCCAAGAAACATGACTTGAAGTCAATACACTGTCAGGTGCCAACTCAATCAGATGTCAGCAGCAAACGTTCCAAAACCAACAAGAGGTGATTTTAAAATGGTCTTGTAGCATTGTTATTTCTCCATGTAAAAAAGTAATCAAGAGGTGTCAAATTTCGATTCTGTTTCTCTTTACTTTCCAAAACACAATAGTTATCTTGAAGCTCATTTTCCCCAACACCTTCATAGATTAATAATTCCTCCTCTCATCTTTTATTGAGATATTTTTTTCTAGATGTGAAAGATCAATTCCAAACAGGCAAGTCAAGGACTCAAAGCTGAATTACTAAAGGATGTAATGTTTACTGATACTCCCTTGTCACAATACTTCAGTATGGTTGCAAAGGCTGCCGTTAGTATTACAACACAATTGATCAACCCAAGAAGCAGACTGAGTCTGAGGATGGTCTTGTTCTCTGAAATGAATCGCTGACTCTGATCAAACAGCTAACAAACTTCTCTTCCAAGCACATTAATCATTTTCCTGCAATTACCTTCATTATACTATCTTGTGGAATGTTCTGAATGATGTATAAGATAAATGACTGAGATGTAATAAGTTATACAAAGAAAAGGCATAACTTCAAAAATGAACAATTAAAACATAAACCATAGATCTTCTGTGATGGCAGTTACCACATAAATACTGACAAAAACCTGATTTCTATAATTAACTTACTTTTAAAGGAAAAGCAGGAAAACAAACTTAATTCAAAGAATTCACCGAATGTTTATCTAATTGGCTATAATATCACACGGTAAGAAATATAAGCTTAAATTCAGACTGCCTATTTTCAATCTAAACTTTGCCACCTGTTAGTTGTAAGAATTTGGGTAGGTTCAAAAACCCTCATTTTTTAAAAGTCTGTATAATGGGGATTATAATCCCTCAGCAAACTGTGGAGACTCGCTAAGACTCTAACGCATACAACAGAGGGTCAGTATTTCCCCAAAGGGAATTAGATGACTGGCAGTCAAGGACCTCTGCCCTCCGCTTAGTAAATTTACCCAAGCAAAATTAGTGGAATCTTGGATTTTGATCTCAAATCTTGAGTGTAGTAATATAAAAGTGGAAAAAATTATTAGAGCCTATTCATTGGAGCCAGGCTGCTGATGAGCCTGCCAAACAGTTCCAGCTGCCTCGATGCTCTTTTCAAGTCTGACACTGTAGCTTTTCTATGGATTCTGTGAACTATACAATATCTTTTAAATTAATTTTTCTCTTAGTTTTTGTTGCTTGGAACCATATAACCTTAAGTAATACGATACTTCAGTAGGTAGGTGCATATATTAGGCAAATGAGAATTTCTCGAAGCTTTAAAATACTATCTAATATTTTTCACAACGTTTTACAATATTCGAAGCACTTTCACTGATTTCGTTTGACCTCTGCAATAATCCACACCATATATAAGAGAGATGTGATGTATTATCCCAAACAAACGGTTAGAGTCCAGACTAAAAACCAAGTCTGCTCAAAAGCCATGCGTTTCTCACTGTCATATGATTTGCCATCAATAAATTTCTATGGCTTGTTTACCTAAATTCAATATACAGGAATGTAAATAATTTAGTAGCACAAAAGATTTAGATAGGTAAATTACCCGAGAGATTTTACCGTAAAAATGGCTTCATTCGATTAATGGGGAAATAAGACCCTGGATAATTAAGTGATTTATGTGAGAGTATAATCCCCCTAAAATGGAAATAGTGCAAACTCATGGTGCGCAGAGCTTGGATCCCATTCAATATAATTTTCGTTACTTTAGCAAGCGTGTCCTCTCTAAGGTGGTCCTGAACCATGTGTAGGAGCTCTTGGAAGGAGCTCGAGAGGGAGCTGTTTCCCAGCATGAAAACAAGGGTCCTACTCTCGAAAATTCTTCAAGAAACTCTGTGTGCTCTGTAACTGTCATGCCGCCCTACATCTGCATTTGGCCCTGTCCTAACCCCACAGGAGCCACTCCACGTATACACAAAGCTATCTGCAGGCTGAGCAATGATCCCTGTAAGCAATTCAAAGATAGCTCTTTAAATTATTCCCACTCCCTCCCACAGCCTGAATGCAGCCTCTATGACTCTAAGTCCCTACAGAGTCCTGTGAGACCAGCGGTTTCTCCTAAACTCCCCAGAAGGGACCAGGCCTGGGAACCAGGCCTGGAGTTGTGGACCAGGATGGGCAATCAAGTTTTTATTACAAGTTGCAACCCGTTGGCTGGGCCCGCTCCACGCTGCCAGCATTCCCCTGAAGTCCCCAAACTCCCAAATCTCTGGCTGCGTCTTTTGCAATCACTGTCAAATCCTACTCAAGTAGAATTCATGTTGCCACCCTTCTTGGAACCAGATTTTCATATTATCTCCCCTGTGCCTACTGGAACTATATTTCTATCTGATTTCCCTGAATAGACCACAGAATTCCTCTGTCTCAATGCCCCATTTTCCTCTTGCACTCAGTCTTATAAAACCACCAAAGCTGATGAAGCAAAGGTACTCTCTGCTGTGGGCTCCATGTGACACACTACAGCCCATATATATTCTCCCTTTCAGTAACTGGTGCATAGTGTACAAATGATATTAATAATGTTTAAGGAATCTCTCATTTTTGCAATAGACTCGATTTTTAGGCTATACACCAGGATGAAACAAAATGATGACAGATTTCATTTCCCTAGAATACCAAAAAGTTTCTGAAGGTTTTGTTTTAGTAAAAGGCCTGGCAGATTTCACTGACAAATCCTGCAATTTAAAGCAAGTTCAGTTTTTCTTCCAATGTTTGAGTGACAAGAGAACTGCAAAAGCAAACTTTAGTCCATTTTTCTCATCCCAGCAGGACAACGGCTCCCCGGGAAAGGAATTATCATCATGAATCAACTGTAAAACACACAACCATTTGAACTGACTGAAAGAGGTAGCATTCACACTGAATGGGAGGTCACCCTGGACACTTGAAATGGAAGAATATAGACAAAGAGGAAGCTAAGGCAGATCCCAGTGAGCATTTTAAGAGATTCATAGTACAGAGTGGACAAGGAGGAGAATTCTTAAGATCAGTGTTCGAGGTTTCTTTGCATATCTGCATGGATATAATTTTAAATCCAAAGGAAAACTAACATATTGAAGACAAAAAACAAATTCAACTCTAAAGCCTTAAAGATAAAAAGCAATCCACTTGGTTTTATGTGGTACAGTATTTGGCTGGGAGCATTTTCAATCTTCTTTACATTTTTAAAAATTACCTTTACTGCTTACTTTATAAACAAGAAAAAATTTAACCTAGTCCAAAGTTCATACTCACTTAAACTAAGGAAATTTAAAGACAGAATTTTAAGTTACTCTTTGTATGGAAGTAACATAGGACTCTAACCCCAAAAAATAACTGGGATTCAAAGTTACCATTGCTGAAAACATTTTATAGATTCTCAGCCATATTCTCCATTTGCTTTTTTGACATTTTTAAAATTTTTCCTCAATGACTCATGAATCATAACATTTTTCATCTTGAATGGACCTTAAAAACTAGATCAGAGCCAGCTCCTTGATTTTAGAAATGAAGAAATCAAAATTTAGAGAGGTTAAGTGGACTTAAAGTGAAATTCAACATCAAACACCTAATTTAGAGTCTGGAAGTTCACATAATGAACCTTATTCCCCATCTTTGCTCTCTCGAGGATTCAGTCTATGTACTTCTTGACCAAAGGTAAGGCAGGAAAAAGGATCCTCATGATGCACAAATGCAGAAATACCAAAGCTTATAGGCCACACAAACTATTGGCTCCATCACAAACCTTCAGGGCAAGGTTAAGCCAATTAACTGCCACCATAAAGATATTTTAAGGCCAGGTGCTCTGGCTCATGCCTGTAATGCCAGCACTATGGTAGGCTGTGGTGGATCACTGAAGGCCAGGAGATCAAGACCAGCCTGGGCAACATAGCAAGACCCCATCTTTACAAAAAAATTTAAAAATTAGCCAGATGTGGTGTTGTGTGCCTGTAGTGCCAGCTACTCAGGAGGCTGAGGTGCAAAGATTGCTGGAGCCCAGGAGTTCAAGTTTACAGTGAGCTATGATTGCACCACTGCACTCCAGCCTGGGTGACAGAGTGAGACCCTGCCTCTATAAATAAATAAATAAAATATTTTAAAATATTAATGAAAGTTAGCATTTTTCAGAATTGATTATAGTTCTCTAGCAATATCTAGAAAATGAGCATTTATGGTTCCATCCAATACCAACAATTCTGCACATAACATGCTACATAAAACTATTTTAAGCTTGATTGTTGAGCAAAGTGAATGTACCTCCCAGCCTTCAATGTGAGACTGCCATTCCTCTAAAACTTCTAATTTCTCCATCTGTCTCTTGGCCTCATTTATGTTGGAACACACAGCTTTCATAGCTTGGAGGGCTTCCATCACTGCTGCGTAGTCACTGTGTTTCCGTGGAGTCCGCTTCAGCAACTCCTGTTTATACACAAAAAAACAAATCACCCTTTGATCTCTAGCTTTCTGGTACAGCAGGTTCAGACTGACCAGGAAATGAAAACTGCAAAGATCGTGAGAGCCACTTTAATAAGCGACATCACAAACTCCTCTAAGATTAAGATCAAAAACAAAAGGTCAAATCAATGAATAAGCATTACCTCAATGCACATTTTGCAGTCACTTTAATTTTTCCCTCAAACTTTATTTTGTTTTAAAAAACCAAATTGGGTTTTTCCTTTCAAATCATCAAATATCTCACCAGGAGCATATGATTTTTTTTTTTAAGTTTGACTTTTCCTCTAACAGAAGCATCTTTATATGTTAATTTCATTTTTCTAGTCTTTCACAGAATAATAAATCTTCAAATGAATATGTCCCATAATTTCAAAAATAATTTAAATGTTTCATTTTCTAACATTTCTGGGGAAACTATAAAAATACATCATAAAAAAGTAAAATTTTTAACTAATGTTTTATACTCTGGCAAAATAATTCATAAATTCTACAATACTCCATCATTAAAGGAGCAATTTATGCTGTTTTCCCCAATTACTCAGGTTCATAGGTTCATTTTTTGTCATGAATAAACTGCCATATACTTCTTAATAGCTTCCTTTTTTGTTTTTGGTATTTAGGAGTTTGGGGGGGCTTTGTTTTTCCATTCATCAAAACTAGAATAATCTTTAATCTTTTAAACATATTAAAAGGTCTTTTAGCTGTTTTTAGAAGCACCAAATTAAACATTTTCACCCACTGTCTAGACAGTTGTGACCACATTGCTTCTTAATTAGTCATTTGTTTCTTTACAACAGTTGCCATCATCATGTCACTAACACAATTACAGAAATCCAACTCTTGAAAATAATTTTCTAAATTCTCTACATATAATGGGGAAAATATGCAGTTGTTATACTCTTTTGAGTTCTGTTACTGTTAAAAATGCTGCCATACGCTTTGACCCCACATTTGATAAGTTCGCACTCTGTTCTGCAGAGTTAACGCCAGAGGAATACACGTTACATCACTCCCAAGACAACGTTTAAAAAGTTATGCTGGACCACAAATCCAACAAAGAGAAATGCAGGCTTCTCCGGAAAATCTAAAGAGTGGACGCATCTATAAATTTTGTGAAGCGGCCAAGCCAGTCTGCAGGCCTTAATTTGGGGCCTTATATAATTAGAATTGTGCCCCATGGGTATCCGTGGAGTTGAGACATGAATTTACATAATGTAAATAGTAAGTGAGACAGTCAGTCATAACCTGGCAGTTACTTGCTAGGAACCCTGTGTTGATTGGCCAACTCAATAATTTCAAGTTCCACAAACAATACCAATGTATCTGTTTTTTAAACACTTCAGCCTAATCCACTTAATATTTTTCCCTGAATAAATAAAGTCACCCAAAATCAAAGAGAATCCCAGCACAATTTTTCATCTGATAGAACACAAAGACGAACAGGAACACCAATATAGGTACTACCTGAGTAAACACATTTTTCATGTTTCTTTGTAAAAATAATCTTCCAAAAGGCGGAAAGGATGTCACCTCTCCACTGCTTGAAGGGGCTCTGAACTTGACCTCCACTTGGCTAAGCAAGGATGTGTTCACAATGCTATCTTTTGAGAGGTCAATTCAAATATCTGAGGTCAACCCTAATCAGAAAGGAGTGATTTGGAACAACCACTCTGTCATGATGTATTCTTAATATCTCCATCCCTGTTTATTCTTAGAACAAACAAATCCTCTAAGATTCCAAAATCAGGATCAGGAATAAGTATAGTTGTGAGTACACATGCAGATTGAGGCACTGAGCCAGAGGTATATAGGGATTCTCAGGAAGATGGGAGGCACATATGCACCAATACTCCCTAACCTCCAAAGACTGTGCCAGAACTCTACCGAACTGGAGACCCCTGTGTTAGTCTCTCTCCACAGCTTCTTATGGCTTACCCAACTGACTTTAGACTTGTTTTTTTAAATGAGGAGCAATCCTTTTCAAACAAATTTTACAGGTATCTAATTTGTGCAATTGACAAGAGTTATAACAAAAA